GTTATTCTGGGGGTCTGCTGGGGCGTGTGTGTGTTGTGTGTTTGGGGTTGTTGTGCTGGCTTTTGGTGTTGTATTTTTCAGTTTCGAAGCGTGCCCCACACGCAATGTAGTAACAGTGCACGCCTGGGCATGGCAAGCGGCATTGCGTGGACGCCCGCTGCAACAGGAAGAGGTTCGACGCAGCCAAGAAGGAAATCTAACACCTCAAGCTGGAATTGGATACAAATGAGGATCGGCACGAGATGTTTGCGAACAAGCACAATCGTCGTATGCAGACTTTCGCCGATCGGGTTCTCGTAGTGTGGATCACGCATCAAGTTTCTCTTAGTGAGGATTCCTACGGAGGTTCTCTTGGTGAGGACTCTTGAGTCAAACTCCCGCAGTAAGGTTTCTTTACTAAGGTCCTCTTAGTGAGGACTCTTGGGTAAGAGCCCCGTAGGAAGGTTTCTTCATCCGAGTAAAGATTATGTATGAATGCTCCCATGGTAATTATCATTTATGGAGGTCCCTGTGTAAGGACCCTGGAGTGCTACTCCCGTAGTGCGACTCTTGAGTAAGAGTCCTTGAGTAAGGATTCCTCATGAAGGGGAACGGGTTCATCTGTCAGGTTTTCGTAGTTCGAACTCTTGAGCGCGACTCCCGTAGTAAGGATTATGTTTTCGGGTTTTGTGAGGAAAGACTCTGGAATTACATTGCCGTAGCCCGGCTCCTTGACAACATTATTTTAGTACGGGCTCTTGAGTAATAGTGCCGTCGGAAGGATCCTTAATTCAGGTTTTTTCCCCACATCCAAAGTGGGGTTCTTGTTTTCTCTGCACACCCCGCGCAGGAACACTCACCCCATTCTCCTCGCACTCATTCACACACACATCATCATCACTCGCACTCTCTCACACGCTCACGAACATCATCGTCATCATCGGTATCGGCATCATCCTCATTCAAACATCATCATCGCCACCACCACCCACAATCAATCATCATCCTCTTCACCACTCATCTTCACCACCACTCTCATCCTCATCCTCATCATCGTTGAGTAAAGTGTGAGGAAGTCTCAGGCGGGAGCCCCCTCCCTATGGGGCCCGCAGATCATGTTGGTAATCCGAGCGGGTCATCGGAACCTTGTAACTGTCGTCACTTTTGGGCTCCCCAGGCTTGAAAATGGAGGAAGTCTCAGGCGGGAGCCTCGTCTGTGAGTGAATTAGGAGGAAGTCTCAGGCGGGAGCTCCCTCCCTATGGGGCCCGCAGATTATGTTGGTAATCCGAGCGGGTCATCGGAACCCTGTAACTGTCGTCACTTTTGGGCTCCTCAAGCCTGAATATGGAGGAAGTCTCAGGCGGGAGCCTCGTCTGTGAGTGAATTGCGAGGAAGGCTCAGGCGGGAGCCCCCTCCCTATGGGGCCCGCAGATCATGTTGGTAATCCGAGCGGGTCATCGGAAACCTGTAACTGTCGTCACTTTTGGGCTCGTCAAGCCTGAATTTGGAGGAAGTCTCTGGCGGGAGCCTCGTCTTTGAGTGAATTGTGAGAAGTCTCAGGCGGGAGCCCCTCCCTATGGGGCCCGCAGATCATGTTGGTAATCCGAGCGGGTCATCGGAACCCTGTAACTGTCGTCACTTTTGGGCTCCTCAAGCCTGAAAATGGAGGAAGTCTCAGGCGGGAGCCTCGTCTGTGAGTGAATTGTGAGGAATCTCAGGCGGGAGCCCCTCCCTATGGGGCCCGCAGATCATGTTGGTAATCCGAGCGGGTCATCGGAACCCTGTAACTGTCGTCACTTTTGGGCTCGTCAAGCCTGAATTTGGAGGAAGTCTCAGGCGGGAGCCTCGTCTTGAGTGAATTGTGAGAAGTCTCAGGCGGGAGCCCCCTCCCTATGGGGCCCGCAGATCATGTTGGTAATCCGAGCGGGTCATCGGAACCCTGTAACTGTCGTCACTTTTGGGCTCCTCAAGCCTGAATATGGAGGAAGTCTCAGGCGGGAGCCTCGTCTGTGAGTGAACTGCGAGAAGTCTCAGGCGGGAGCCCCCTCCCTATGGGGCCCGCAGATCATGTTGGTAATCCGAGCAGGTCATCCAAAACCTGTAACTGTCGTCAATGTTGGGTTCTCGCGCTGCCAGAACGCAGTTCCCAGGCCACACTTTGGATGCAACAAGGAAGTTTTTGGGCTCCTCAGGTCGCCGAGGTGCTGCGACAGGGCGCCGAAGGCGCCGACGACGACGGCCAGGCCGAGGCGCGGGCGCGGAGCTTGCTGATGTTCAGGCCCAGCGAAAGGGAGTTCACATGGCAGAGCTCGGGGGCGCACAGCGTGCGCCGCTCGGGGTTCACCCTGACGCACGCGTCCTACCTGACCTCCACGCTGTCGCAGGGCCAGACGCTGCGCAAGGGCGTCACCATCGACTGCGCGAGAGACGAGGACGCTGGCCGCACGGGCATGTCGGACGAGCAGTGGTGGCTGCACCTCTACGTCATGTTCTCCCGCGCCACGCGCATGCGGAACATGC